AAAAAAAAAAAAAAAAGAATAATGCAAAAGCTTTTATTGAGAGACCTGAATAAAGTCTTCCAAGGAAAAAACACACATAACTTTGAATATAACTGAAGCTCTTTTTTTCAAGAAAAGCTGCATTTTTTTAAAAGTGGTGAAAGAATGGAATAAAAATGACAAAAGAGTGATATGTTTGTCTTGTAATAAGAAACTAATATATAAAAATGAGGGGAGCATAGCCGATGTGGCTCAGTGGTTGAGCATCAACGCAGGAACCAAGAGTCGGGGTTCAATTTCTAGTCAGGGCACATGCCCAGGTTGCAGGCTCCATCCCCAGTAGGGGGCATGCTGGAGGCAGCTGATCAATGATATTTCTCTCTCATCAATATTTCTCTCTCTATCCCTTTCCCTTCCTCTCTCTCTAAAAATCAATTTAAAAATACACATTTTAAAAAATAAAATGAAATAGTTTTTTAAAAAAGAGGGAAAAGAGGACATGCAATAGGCAGAGTGGTGGGAATTTTGTAGGAAGATTAAATTTGATGCAGAACTTAACAAAATTTGTGGATGACTTTAAAGAAAGTTAAAAAATGTTTACAAGGGATCTTTTTGAGGTGCTGAAAATGAAACAGTGGAGTGTGGTAACAGTTCCAGGGGTCCTCAAACTTTTTAAACAGGGGGCCAGTTCACTGTCCCTCAGACCATTGGAGGGCTGGACTATAGTTTAAAAAAAAACTATGAACAAATTCCTATGCACACTGCGCATATCTTATTTTGAAGTAAAAAAACAAAACGGGAACAAATACAATATTTGTATTTGCATGTGGCCCGTGGGCCATAGTTTGAGGACCCCTGGGTTACACAATTCTACTATTTAGTAAAAAGTCACTGAACTTTACACTTCAAGTAGACAAATTTTACAGTACATAAATTATACCTCAGTAAAGCAGTGCTGTGTTTCTTTAAAGTGGTACAGGCATCCCTCAGAGATATTGCATGAAGGATTCCAGATATCACATTAATGCAAGTCGTAATCTTTTTGCTGGTGGAGGGTCTTGCCTTCAATTTATAAAACATGTAACATCTGTAAGGCGCAATAAAGTGAAGCGCAATTAAACAAGGTATGTCTGTATTTATCTGTTCACTGAAGCAAGACAGAAAAATTACATTAGGGATTCTCTGATTAAAAAAATAAAGCAGCCACCCTGGCTGGTGTGGCTCAATTGGTTGGGTGTCAACCCATGCACTGAAAGGTTGCCAGTTCGATTCCCAGTCAGAGCACATGCCCAGGTTTCAGGCTCAATCCCTTAGAGGGCATGCAGGAGGCAGCTAATCAGTTTCACTCTCACATCAATGTTTCTCTTTCTCTTTCTCTCTCCCCCTCCCTTTCTCTCTCTCCCTCTCCCTCCCTCCCTCTTCCCTCCCTCTCTCTCTAAAAATCAATTTTAAAATCTTAAAAAATAAAAAAAGCAGCCAAGAGGAAAAGTACAGTAATTTATTCAACAGACAAGAAAAGAAAAGAAAATGAAGTTTTCACAGATTAAGAAATAGTAATGTTTCCATTTCAGCCTAATAAAGGACAGCATTGTGTCTCTGGGTAACTCTGTATATCTTGCTAAGACCGCAAAAGCTTACTATCTTAAGAGTAGAAAGACAATAGATTTGGAAACTTTAACTGTAAAATAAGGAGAAGAAGCACTTCAACTTAATTTCCTATTTTAAAATAATGTATGGTAATTTCTTTACAAGCATGATGACAACACTCAAAACATTCAAATGGGGGATTTGGGAGTATTTTTGAAGTAAATTAATTTGCATTGGTTCAGGGACTTTTGCAGTTTCTTAAAAACAACAGTACTGCATTTTATTTACTCCATCTGCACTAGAGATCAAGCAAAACTGCACCTATAAACAACTACAATTCACGTTTGTTTTGAACTATGAAAATATTAACCTACTCTGACCTCCCCTGCACCAACTTCAGCAAACCCTGGGTCAAGAGTCTCAACTTCCCAAAACAGCACAGGTGTCTCTAATTTAAGACCTGCTAGTCTCCTCTCTGCCTTTGGCTAAATCAGTAACAAGCCCAGAAAATAAAAACAAAAACCTCTACTAATTCATGTAGGTATTTTCTTTCTTTCTCCATAAAAGAATGTACTAGCAGACACAAATTAAATAACATATATCAATACATAGTTCTATTTTCTCTAACTGGCTATAATAAAGGTCAAAATAGTTCAAGATAGTGATATTCGCTTATTTTCCACCTAGACTCGAAAATTTGTGATATCAATGAATTTTATATATTTCAATAAAACAACATATTGTGAACGTTTACAGTAGCATGTCTAACCCTTAGTAGGCATTCAAGAAATGTTAGTTCCCTCTCTGTCCTTTCCATTAATTCTTATAGTAGTTCCATGAAATATTTCCTGTTTATTATTACCCCGATATTAAGCAGGAGAACAGACCCCGAAAATTCAGGCTGCCTGGTTGTGATAAAGCAGCCCTTCACAACCTGTGGGTCGCGACCGCTTTGGTGGTCAACCGACCCTTTCACAGGGGTCGCCTAAGACCATCCTGCATATCAGATATTTACATTACGATTCTTAACAGTAGCAACATTACAGTTATGAAATAGCAATGAAAATAATTTTATGGTTGGGTCACAACATGAGGAACTGTATTTAAAGGGCCAGAAGGTTGAGAACCACTGTGATAAAGGGATTCGTTTGCAGAAATTAAAATTTAATCTACCTTCTTTGTCTCCCTTCCTAGGAAGTCAATTCCAAGGACCATGTTCCTTCTGCTATATAAATGGCTCATCTGTTTTTCCTTATACATCTACGATTAGATGTAGCAAGAATCCAAAGATTATCATCAACCCATGGAATCCCATGTACAAGTTCATGGGATTCCAGGTTGGAGGTTTGGGGGGAGTACTGTCATGTTGTTGGGGTATTTTTATTTTTATTTTTTTTGCTATCAAGTTCACTCTCCCAGTAATCCAAGTCTCCTGCACCAATGAGCAATGGTGTCTTCACATATCTACAATCATGGAAAACTAGAACTACATGAACTATCACTAGCCCTTACTTTGACACAAAATGCTCTGACAAAAATAAGTTTGCAGAGCTGGTGAAGCTGCCATCTATAGCTCTTTTTGTGGACATCTGACACAAGATAGATATATAATCCAACGCTATATACAGTGTAGTTTTGTTCAGGCTCTGATACTTAAGATAGGAACACAAGCATGTTATGTCAAATTAAACTCCAGTGGTTAGAGATGGACAGATTATGTCATCAGTAATAAAATTTATAGTTGTCAGTGATGGCCTGGCTACTGTCAAGATAGGCCCTTTGTTGCATTTAGCCTACCATTCACAGAAGCTATTGAATTTTAGAATGGCCGGAACAATTAGCTAGCCTGTCACTTCCCACTACCCCACGCTGGTTTATAAACATAATGACTCCAATACAAGAACTATGCTTTCTAAGGATTTAATCATGGTATGTAAGTGTGTGTGTGTGTGTAATTTTATGGTTCTGTTCTTCTGTGGTCACCAATATTTTATATTGGTTGGGCTATTTCTTTGACATTTAATACATTCTAACAATATACTAGATATAGTCCACAATATTAGATAAACCATAGGACCATGATGAGTATTTCCCTAAACAATCAAATCTGATCTCTTCTAGTTCAGTGGAATTGAAAATACTAACAAACAACACCTTGGGCAGGAAAGAGTAAATAAACCCAGGACATACCTTATTTACAATTCCCACAGACAGAAGAAATTCAATTCCATGCCAATCACACCCTTCGGTCACTAAAATACAAACAGAAAAATAAATGTTCACACACTATAAGCAGTTCTTTCAGTTCCTAAAGGGTATTTGGTTTCAAAGGTAATAAGCTGTTTCTTATCTCCTTTCTATGGGTGAGCTCTGTCACTGGCACAAAGGTCCAAAGAGGTAGAGGGAAACAATAGGTAACACTAACTGAGCACTTACTATATGCCAGGCACTGTTCTAAGTGCTTACATGTACTAATTAACTTAATCCTCACAGCAATCCTGTGAGATACTCTTGTAAACTCTTTTTACATCCAAAAAACAACTGACCTATACATCTGAAAAGTGTTCTCACTGGTGTTAAAAATGCCTTTTAAATAAACGTAGGCAATTTCAAACATTGTAGCTGGACTGTCCCAATGGTTGATATCTGTGTTCCATATTCATCTACTCATTGTGCATTTCTTGAGCACACACCAGCTGTTAAAGAGGATTCATTCTCTGCCCTTTAGGAATTGAGAACGCAGTTGTGAAGATCAGATTAAACTACAAGAAATGGTTCAAGAAATGAAATGCCCTATTATGAGGCACATTCTCTTTCTACAACCATTCAGTTTGAAAAAAAAAATCAATAACCTTTGGTAAAAAGGGAGAAAAGCTGCACATAAAAGGTACCATAAACCTAGATCTTTAAATAGGTTACATTGCCAAAGTAAGGAGAAAGGCTCTTTAGCTAAGAAAATAAGAACAAAAACATGGTGGAAGGGACATAGTGTACCTGAGGTTCTTCATAATCTGATCCCACCCAGTTTTACTAGCCTTTGCTGTGGCCACTAATCTCCCTCCCACTTCCCATTAGCCAAACCAAACTTCTTACTTCTAGGACATACAATCTCTAATAGTTCCACTGTTTCTCCTACTATATTACCCCCTTTCCCTGGTGGGTAACTTTAATCCTAGTATACAGTAGGTACTCAATAAAATATAACTATTGTTGTAAATAACTTTTATTATTTAACTAGAGGCCTGGTGCATGAAATTCATGCACTGGGTTGGGGGGGGGGGCGCGGGTCCCTCAGCCGGACCTGTGACCTCTCACAGACTGGGAGCCCTCAGGGTATGTCCGACTGACAAGGAGGCGGGAGAGGCTCCCACCACCACCACTGTGCTCACCAGCCATGAGCCCGGCTCAGGGCTTCTGGGTGAGCAGCGCTCCCCCTGTAGGAGCGCACTGACCACCGAGGAGCAGCTCCTGCATTGAATGTCTGCCCCCTGGTGGTCAGTTTGCATCATAGCAACCGGTCATTCTGCTGCTCAGTCTATTTGCATATTAGCCTTTTATTATATAGGATATCCACTTGAAACATTTTTCTGAAGCCTTTTCTAATTCCCCAGTTAATCTACTCAGTGCCTCTCCACCACACTCACATGGCATTTGTCCATTTCTCTGTTAGAATGGTAAAACATTTTATTGTCCCCACATTTCCTTTTTTCTTTCTCTTCCTTGTCTGAACAGGAAACATCTTTTATACAATTTGATATCCCCTGAAACCTAGCACAGCGTCTGGCACATAATAGGTACCTGTTATGTACTTGTTAACTGAAGACCCAACTGACTTGAATTTACAAAACGAAAGAATTCTTCTAAATAGTCAATTCCTTTAGTACCTTTAAACAATTCAGTGTGTCAAAACTCTAACCCACTTTTACATTTTCATGAATACCAGTATGTCTGCTACATAATTATACCAACAATTCATGTGCAACAAAGTCAAAGTAAATTCACTAAAAACTACCAGCTGTCTACTTTTTGCTTTACAACAAAACAAGATCCTCAACCAGGCCAACTGAGATAGGAGAAATTAACAGAATTGATCACTTAGGTATTGTGCTGGTGACCTTCCTCACTGAAACAGTGCCACAGTTCTGAATGTAATATGCATGTTTAAATAGGTATTTATATTGGCTTTAGCTGAGGTTACAAATTTAGAAGTTCAATCATAAATCCAACGTTTATTTATAGAAACTTTCCATATGGTAAGAGTTTAAGAAGTAAAACAGCAGCCTTTTTCTCTGCCGAAAGCAGAAGGTAGTGGAGTGCCAAAGGAGCATACCCTCTCCTGACTCTGTTCTTGGATCTGCTTAAAGCAGAAGAACTAGGCATGGAAAGCAGGGGCCTCACTAAAAATCACTTACCCACGACAATGGGCATTTTCAATGTTTGTGCTATGCAAGACTTAAGTATTAATTTCATACAGCCCATGTTCATTTGAAGCACAATTTGTGGCTTGGACTTAAAAAATGTTCTAATGTGCTAGTCTGTCCACATATTAATCCAGTCAGCCAGGTTTGAACATGCCAAGCTTAAAATACTCTAGATCATTATGCAAAGGTATGAGCTCAATCCTTTATTCTCAGGAAAAGGAACTTAGGGAAGAATGACTAAAGCAATAGTATTTCAACGGTATTTCTAATACAAAAAGTCAACTCTTAAATAGTGATGAGCTAATTTTTTAAAATATCTAAATGGAAATAAGAATCAAGCTAATAAGAGATTTCTTATAATTATTAATCTCAAAATGAGATCCTACATTTTTAGGTCAAAGTTGTCAGAGAATGTGTTTTGAAACTGATTTCAAAATGTTTTTACATGAGACCATCTTATAAAAAGGTTGTTTGTTTTAGCCCAGCCAGTGTGGCTAAGAGGTTGAACATCGATCCATGAACCAAGATGTCACTGTTCAATTCCCAGACAGGGCACATGCCTGGGTTGCAGGCTCAATCCCCAGTAGGGGGCATGCAAGAGGCAGTAGACAGATGATTCTCTCTCATCATTGATGTTTCAATCTCTCTCCTCGTCCCCCCTTCCAAAGAAGTTATATGCATAACCATGGACATAGACAATAGTGTGGTAGGCCTGGGGGTGGGGGGGCAAGTGTGGGGTGGAGAGGGTCAATGGGGGGAAATGGGGGACTTCGGTAATACTTTCAACAATAAAGATAAATTTTTAAACGTTAGATGTGTGTGCCCTGAAGATTTAGAAATGCTGTCCTTTAAAAACTTGGGCAGCAGGCCCTGGCTGGGTACCTCAGTTGGTTAGAACATTGCCAGATACAGAAAGGTTGTAGGTTCGATCCCAGTTTAGGGCAGATGCAAAGAATAAAAGGAAAGTAATCAAAAAATGGAATAGAAGGGGGGGAAAGGAAGAAAGATAATTAATACAAAGTTTTGACTCTGTTATTGAAAAAAGGAGAAAAAACAATTCTCAAGTTGAACTGTGGTTTTTAAGCAATCAACAGCATATGATTACGTATCTCCTCAAACTGAACACCTATGAAAAAAATCTCAGTCTCATTTTGCCTGAATCCTCTATTTGTTCCTTCACTTCCAAAGAGAATAGCATTAAGTGAACTGGGCCCCCTAGAGAAAGTAGGGGTCAGAAATGTCAGTCCATGAGGCCTGTCAAAGTACTGGTGCTGGCTGGAGCTATTAGAGAGTCTCAAAAGTAGAATCAAGAGAGACCACTGTGTTCCCAAACCCTTATCGGTGATAACATTGGCAAATATGTTCTCCCATGCAGTGGGCTTTCTTGTTATTTTATTGATGGTTTCTTTTGCTGGCAGAAGCTTTTTATTTTGATGTAGTCCCATTTGTTTATTTTCTCTTTAGTTTCCAATGCCCTAAGAGCTGTATCGGTAAAGAAATT